TATATATATATTATATATATATATATATATATATATATATTATATATATATATTGTGTGTGTGTGTGTGTGTGTGTGTGTGTGTGTGTGTGTGCTCATGCGTGTGTGCGTGCAAATGTGCATATTTTTGTGTACAATAAACTTATCGCGCATACCTTGCGTAAGTGTGAGCTCCGCTCCTATAAAAAAAGAATACCTGTATGTCTTCGTTGACTCGCTTCTGCGCTTGCGCTGTCGTCTGTGCATCAGGCGTTTCATTGGGTGTAGACGGCACATCCTGTACATGGCGGACCGTAGCTAATGGTCAATTGGCTGCAGCAGTGGCTCAAAAATATCTGCGCCTCAGACAACAGCTACATTATGTGCCGGTAACAAAATTTCGCTACTGAACGGCTATTCAATCAACACATGAGGGGTAATGCTTGTAAATTATTGCAAAAGACGCATTCATATGTCTCACGAGTGAAATTGAAAGAACGACGATACATGGCAAACACAGCAGATTCGACAACTAAGCAACTACAATTCAAGCGCATGAGTCATAGTCGCGATATTGCCGATATTTATAGGCGATTGTTAATTTCACGAGCTTTCAGTCGCAAGCATACGTGGCCATGAGGTAGAGATTTTACAATATACATCAGGAACATCATTTGAGCAAACAAATTCAGTCAGTACGCTCTGAGATATAACATTCGTTTTCCACAAAAGGCAATAGCATAACTTGAGCGTGTATGGTAGTTGTAAACACACCATGCTAAAAAACTGAGGACAGTACCTGTGTTGGTGTTGGCTCAGCTGAATGTGAATGGAACACCGTGCGCGCCGTAGGTTGTTTCTGTAAGCTGGTATCTATCTGTGATGACTGTACGTGTGCCTGTGCCTGTTGCTGCCGGTTGAGATGGTGTTGTACATCTTGTGTTTGCGGCTGCTGTGGAAGTAGTACGTTGGTGATAGTAGTGCGAGCACGCGAATACGCGCGAAGTTGCGGCGGCAGTGCAGAAGCGGCGATGTGGGGAACCTGTGTTCCCTGAAGGTGCACGCGTGGGGTCGGGACAGTGATTGTCGGGACAGTGGTTGTCGAGACAACAGGTGTTGATTGCACGTTATCGTGTTTGTACCTGTGCGTGAGTTCTGTGTTGCTGTCAGACACACCCTTGATATCGCTATTCGCCAGAGGGATCATCTTCGACACGGAGCTCAATGGAGGCGGTGCCTCCGATTTCGGCCGTGCCTCCGGTTTCACTGGACTGCCATCCAACACAATTATATCTGCGTGCGCATCCTTACATTCCTTCTCGAGAGGCAGACTTTCCTCGGGAGTTATTGCGATCGGTATCGTAATTTCAGTCTCATCTGTAACGGCAGTAGTTGTAGGCCTGTCTACGCTAATCGCCTCCGAAGCAGAAGATATTAATTCACAATCCACGATTTCAGCTTTCCCATTTACTGCAGGGTTAGACTCAACTTTCACAGGCTCAACTATTGTACAATCGGAACCGATATCGCTATCATTGGCCACCCCTTTAAATTTCGCTTCCAGCAGCTCCACAGCACCGGTCCCGTTTTCGCCGCTGCATAGAAATTGTATTTCAATAATTTCTTCAATAGAAATACTGAAACACACAAGGTTCTGCGTGCGGTGAATGATCAAGTGGCTACAAATATTACAAGTGGCGGCAAAGAAAGACGGAAGTAGCTTTATAGATGAAGGCGAACGAGGTGCAAAATTGCAAAACCGGTCTTTTCTAGCAGGAAATAGTCTTAACCGTAGCAGACATTTGGTCACAGGTTGGAAGAAAATGTAATATTCGCTACCGCTTTGAGATATCTTGCTTGCTTAAACACCTATTTCCATCTTAATGTGACGGTCACGTACGAATATTTAGCTACTGTAGGGCAGAAATAGGCAATTGCTCCCACTGGCGTGAAATTTGAGTTGTATAAATTGCATTGCGAAGCATACCATGCTGTACTCTCCGCAGGCTGCAATTCAAGGCTCGGCTGACTTGGCGATGTCGCATCACTCTTCGATCCTGCGGTATAGCAATGTACGTGAACGAAAAGCGATACATTATTGAATATTAACAAGACTCCATTGTACACAAAAACAGCTTTCGAATAATTTAGTCTATAGCTCAAAGATGATATACCATCCACAAAAGTAAAGAAGTTGGTTTGGTCACTCAGCATACCTGTTATAGTTTCAATATCAGAGCATACGTGTTAATCTTACATAAAGACTCATACATACTCTTCTAATGGACAAAGATATATATGTATGTATTAATATATATATAAATATATATATATATGTGTGTGTGTGTGTGTGTGTGTGTGCGTGTGTGTGTG